TTTACATATATATATATATATATATATATATATACTTTGTCAAACATATTATAACAAATTTTAAATCATTTAAATAAATTTAAAAAAATTATTATGTTTTAACAAATATTTTTAGTTAAAAATAAATTATAGTTTTAGTGTAAGTATTTCGTGAAATTGTGATCTCTATCTATTGCATAGTTGAAATGAATGATTAACCATAGAATCAAGAGAGGATATACATAATCGAGTTGGATTCTACAATCTTTTCAGGGCATTGGAACATTCATGCAGATGTCATGGGGATTGAGGGAGCTCATCTTCATGAATTCTATGCTTCTTTTAACCTAGACATAAGTATAAGAAATAATATATCCCAATATTAACAACAATCACATAGGAAAACATTTAGAAAAACCACGATCACCATGATCCTTGAATCACAGGGGAACGAGTCTTATCATTCTTGAAAGAACTCTTAAGATTTATTTCTGTTGTTTCAATTTTCTTTTGTCCGCTCTTTATTATATTTTCATTAGGATTTTAAGGACTTAAAACCTTCTTTACAATCACGCTAATCTAGGTTCACTAAATTAGTAACACTGGTGCTATTTCTACTAAAATAATTGCTAAGACTTTTCTAGTGGGATCAATATGCTAACTCTATGACTGCATACTACTTTGACACGTGCACTTTCATTGTAAGACCAACTTACTTCACAGTAAATTTTTGATGAGTCAGATATTCACATAGTTGCTGGTGTCGATGAGGATACTACCAATCTTAAAATTGTTATCAATGTGGTCACAACGATTGTGTCATTGTAAGGATTCTCTTAGAGGGCAAGTTATCATTGGTGAAGGCTTTCGGGGGATATGAGTTACATTTGGAAATGAGGGAGGCTGCGCATAAATCTCCTGACCAAAGCCTCTTTAGGCTAGCTCAGTAGGATGAGTCTCCTCCAAAGATGGTAGGAATTATGCCAACAATATAAATTTCATGAGCTTATACTGGTTTGTCCTTATTTTCTTAAATTTGGCCTGTCACTATCATTGGGTCATTGCTCCAAGTGCCACAAACTTCTTCGACTTCCCAAGATTGACCAATTCTTCGATCATGCTTAGAGGTGTAGGCACTCATCCGTGTCATAATAGTGGTTATGGTGGTAAGCATAACATTTCTTGAATTACTCCTTATTGTGGATGACCTCTACTATCTCAACCACTGAGAACCTTAATGGAGTCGATCAAGGATTCTCGTGATTAGGTTGCATTTATTCTACATATCGAAGTGTTGATCGGGATGTCGATCTTGATTTTTTCGACAGTGCATTCTATCATTCACCTTATGATCTTGCGGTGGCCTGAGGTCTTTAAAAAGGATAGGCAAAAGGATGTGAATTGTGTCTTAACCTCCACCCTTCACCTTGGGTGGTCCTTTTATGTGGGTCATAAGTGGTGGGTTTTGCTTTGAAGGAGGAGGGATGAAGTTGAACTTCTCGCCTGATATATGGTTATTGGACGACTCCAACAGCTTGGTTAGCAACTTCAGTTGTTGTAGGCCTAGAATGTGCTGAAAGGGTCCTTCCTTTAGCTTCTAAGCTAGAGCAGCATGGGCGATTGCATGTTCCAGATCCCATACATCCAACATCTCTTTATGGAAGCAAGTATCCACTCTCCCCACGGCGAATCTGCAAGAGGATTTGCGAGCTCTTCTAAAGTTTATGGGTACTGATAAATTGTGCCACAAACATTTGCTTAAAATCAATAAATAATGTGATTATTCCCATCAATAATTTGTTGATCCACAAAAAAAGGCTCTCTCAACATGGCAAGGAAAAGACGACATTTCAGTGTGTCAATGAACCTAAACAAGCAAACAGTTGACTCAAACAAGGCTATATGGTCGGCTTGATCGGTCTGCCCTTTTTAGGACGGGTGCTGGAATCTTGAATCCCTATGGGGCTCATCCTAAAAAATTTGTTGTGAGAGTGCATTCTCATGATAACAAGGCACCTCAGTACACCTGAATTGATGCCACTTATTTAGTGCCAACCCAACACTATTCAACTACTCGGAGTTTCCTTCCCTCTCTAAGGCTGGGGTGGGTGGGTTCTTCTGTCACTAAACATCGACCCTCCATTTAGGGGTTGTTATTATTTGTCTCGGGTCAAAGCACCTCAAATGACCTCTAACATCCGACCTTTCAACATTTAATATCTAATCTTCAAATTCTAAGTTGTACTCCAAGCAGTCGTCGATCTCCTTGCGACGTCCTTCTCCTTCGTTACTCTCTTTTTTGTTTGTAGCATGATCTACGCTCATCGAACCTTTTAGGTTGTTGAATTCTATATTATATAGGAATCACACCCAAGGAATAAATTTTAAATAAGGAGAGAAAATACAGAGAGAGAGAGAGAGAGGGAGGGAGACAATGAACAATAAAAAGTGATGTCCTTTCTTGGTTAGATTTTTCCTGTATTTATAGAGGGTTTAAAATCATGTTATTACTTTTTTCCCCCCACCTAAAAAAGATCTATATAGGGGTATTTTTTAAATTTAACAAGTGACGATTTACTATCTGTCATATTTTGGTATGTTCGGCCAAGCTTAGTCAGTAGGGTTTGGTTGGTCAAGACAAACATATTGATTACCATTAATCTGACTCTAGACAACTGAGCATTACTCATAAGCTAACTCTCCCGTCAAATCAATTCATCTGTATCAAGTTGGCCTCTTATCGATTGACGATCAAAGTTTTATCAAGTTTGGTTATCGCTATTACTTATCAGAATTACTCGATCGTCGCTCCATCAGTTTCTTGACTCAGTTTATTTTAGTTTGACTGACTTGGTTCTTCTAGCTCGTCTGGTGCAATTTATGATCCTCGTTAACTATTTGTGGGTGATCTTCCTCCTTCACACCTTCCATTTTTGGTGCGCTTTAAGATCATCGTTGACACCCTTTTGATGTATAAATACATATATGAATGAGATATGGAAACACAATTCACTCGAGAGTATTTTGGTGAACTATTTAAAGCTATCTTCTTTGTTGGAGGCTTGGAGCCCTATGTACATACTATCAGCTAGGGTTTTCCATCTCTATAGCATATGAATTATAGAATACGACTCAAAGTCTTTATTTTTATCCTCTCACTTATTTCTACTTATTTAGTCACTTCATTTGATTTTAACTCTCATTGGACTTCGTCCATAATGAACTTTTTAATATTAAGAGTTGATCTAAAAATATCATGACGTGTTGATGATGAAGAAGAAGAAGCTCAACTTATCCTTTTATTTAAAAATCATAGTTTAGGTGTTTAATATGTGAATCCATAGGAATTGATTGGTAGGTAGTGGTAAGTAGGTAAATAACCCTTTTTTTTTTTGTGTAAAGGGAGAGGTACTCACAAATAACACCCATGTTTTATATTTACACCTTGGTAGGTAGGTAAATAACCTTCTTTTTTGTGTAAGGGGAGAGTTACTCACAAATAACACCCATGTTTTATATTTACACCTAATAAACTATTGGTTTTATGCATGAAAATATGTATCTCATTTTTAAAAATATTTTGTGGTATTTTTATATGATGTTAAGGATTTGAGTAGCATGATGTAAATATGAAAGTTTGGGTTCAGATATTTGAATATCATTAACCCAACACCTTGATATTCTTCATTTTATTTCTAAAAGTTTGGGTTTAGATATTAACCCAACACCTTGATATTCTTCATTTTATTTCTAAATAATATGTTACACATTCTTTTGTTTATTTTTTTCCAACACAACATTATAGCATTATAGAATTATAGGTACTTGTCATCACAAATGGACAAATAAATGTTTTTCCTCCCTCCAAAGACTTTTCCACAAGGCATCATGTAGAAATAGATCTAGGAGAATAAGCTTCTAGGCCTTCTATCATACTTCTAACCATTTCAAAATTTTCTTTTCTTTTCTAGGGTGATATTCATTAAAAATCACCAATCAACTTTTCTCTCTTCTTCCTATTGAAAGAGTTGTAAGTTATTAAAAACGCTAGGTGTTTTTCTAGAAAAAAAGTATTAAGTGAGGAGTCCAGACGCGAGCTGCGTCCAGACAACGGGCGTGATACAACGAAGGTCCGAGTTCCCGCTTTGCCCCGCTATATCACGTCCGTTGTCGGACAGGAGCTCTACTGGACTCTGGGCATTTACATGCATACCACCCGATTCAAAAATACTTACACATGTAACACCAAAACTATCCTTTTTTTTTTTTAAATTTCTATATCACTCAAATCTTTCATAAATACCATCACTTATAAAGGTATCACACATTTAAATGCACATCTGACATTGTAAATATTAAATTTAGGTAATATGTAAACATCTATTATTTTCTTTCCTCAGTTGAATTGAGTACAAGAAACACCTAAAAGTTGATAATAGTCTAAAGAAGCCATTGTTATTGTTTGTTTCTCAGTCCATTTCAATCTCTGTTGCATTAAGCATCCCCACAATATCTTTTCAAGTTATAGAATCAGATGCCAAAACAAGTGAGCTACAAGAATGAATTCCCCCAAATTATATCAAGAGAATGAAATAAAGGGGCATTTAGATACTCACCACCCAATTCTTATGTATTTATTTATCTAACATCTAAACTTTATCTTTCACACTTCACCACGTAAATCTTTTCGAAACAAAACAAAACAAAACCCAACCTCACCTTTAATAAAAATGCAATTTTCATTTCGAGCTAAAACGAACTGAACGCGAACAAACAAAGAGTTGTTGGTGTTCTATTAATTTATAATTCGAACTTTAAAAATTTGTTCATGTTTGGCTCGTTACGATGAGCCGAACACAAGCTGTTCGCTGACAACCAGCTTTTTTAAGAGCCCCAATTCACACCATGTTCTAAAAGAATTCTTTTTTCTTATCGGCCATGGCAAACATGTCATGTAAATCAACCAAATCCGTAATTGAAATCATTAAGAAAATAAAAAACAAAACATAAGTGAAAAATCGTTAGACACGCAACTAGAAATCATATATAAGTAATACTTACACCTACATCTTTGTTCTCAAACCAGATATAAAACAGACTATAGCAATATATAGTTCTTTCAGTCAAATTGCTCACCAAAACAACCAACTTTCAAATCAGCCTTCTAAAATCCAAACCCATCATCGAATCCTGCGTCGTAGCCTGCGTCGTAATCCCCCACGTCTGAAATCATATCGCCCACCAACAAACCGCCGAGCAATCCCGCGCCCAGCCCTAAAGCCATATTGTTCTTGTTTTTCCTCGGCGGAGCCGCTCCGTAACCATACCCTTGCTGCGGAGGCGCACCGTAACCATACCCCTGCGGAGCGCCGTAGCCATATCCAGCCTGCGGTGGCGCGCCGTACCCGTAATTGCCCTGCGGGGGCGGCGGGTATGGCGCATAATTTCCATGCGGTTGATGCGGCGGGTATCCACCAGCCGGCGGATACGACGGCGGATATGCCGATCCGCTCGCGCCGGCCGCGGGATAAGCCATCACCGGGTCGCCCTCCCTCGGCGGGGGGCAGAAGGCGGATAAGCAGAAAACCCCTCGGCGGGCTTCGCTGCCGGAGCTGGCGCGCTGGTTACGGGAAGATCCACGAATTTATAGGAGAGATTGAGAACGCCCTTTGCCTTACCAGAACCGGGCTTGCGTACCTGATAGCTGACGAACTTGGATCCTTCCTTGATCCCATCAAGAAGCTCTTTAACAGGGATATGAACCTCGCCGACATCACGATCTCCAAGCGTTCGCTCGCATCGGAGGAGAACATGGACGACGAGATTGTTACTCGCGGCTGGATCGGCAGGCACAGGGAATCGTAGAGTCGTATTCCACGAAGGATTCTTTCCGCCGTTATGGTCAGCCGGAGTTCGCTGCTGTGTGCGGCGATCGCCGGCGATTGTCGCCAACGCGTAGACGGTCATCTTGGAGAAAACGTTGACTTCCCTCAGATCCTTGGCGGAAATCAGGGTTAGCTCGAGTGTGCGGTAAGCCATGGAAAGGGATTTTCAAAGGATCGGGGGACTCGGATTGAGATCTCGAAACTGAGATTGGAAGAAGAAGATGAAGAAATTGAATTAGGGATTTTAGGTTTTCCTTTAGGGTCAAATTTGGGCGTGGAGGAAGAGGAGGAGCTACGTTGCCATTTATATATAGGAATGGAATTGGATGCTTGGTCGCGAAGTTCGTGGGAAATTTCGAAGAAGGATTGACCAAAGAAAAACGCGATTTTTTGTGTTTTTTTTTTTTGGGAACGGACGCGCGGCGCGTTTTGGTTGACATCGTTAATTACTTGTAAGCCGTTCGAATTTCGATGTCTTTTGGATAACTCAAAGAAAATTATGTGTCCGGTGCTCCCTATGTAATTATGCCAAAATTAAATATTAAATGTGATAAAGCATTTGATTTAAAAATATACATAAAAGGATATGATGATATTATTTTTTAATTAGGGCATTTACATAAATAGCACATAATTATTTTGTATTTATATAAATAATTTGAATTTTTTTTTTTATTTATTTCTATTGCATCTTTCATTTTTACATGCATAACACACGTTTTTTCTTTTTTATTTTTATACTTTTTATTTTTTTTTTTATCAGAGCACGTATATGATTGAAATCATAACAAAAATGTTACTTTAGGAGAGCGCGTATATGATTGAAATCATAACAAAAATGTTACTTTTATTTACTATTTAAAAATAAAATTTATTTTTTTATGCATAAATTTATAACATTAAAGTATTATAAATATAAATATAAAATTTAAATATTAGATATGTAAACCCATAAGAATTGTCTGGTGTATATGTAAATTTTTTTTTCGAATAAAAAAAATACCAATATTTTCTTACAAATATCAAATTTTAGATATTAGACGCGTAAACACATGTCATACATGTAAATATTTCATTGTAATTTAAGGTATTATTATTATTTTTATTAGAAATAAATTTTAAAAATAAATACAGAGAATAAATAAGATTAAATCAACATGTAATATAATCAGTTATCTTGCAACTTTATGGTGTACATCAAGAATGTGTCAGGATGCATCCCGAGGAGATCCAATGATCCAACAAGAAGAAAATACAATAAAGAAGGGTCCAATGACAGGAATCCAAGAAATCTCATTTATTCGATTAGATGCAACCACCTGAGTCAATGATGAATGTTAGCGGAGTTGAAAATAAAAAAAAAATAACGATCTAGGACTGACCTGTCTAGGCATATTAGACTTGAGCAGATGGATGAGCACCCAAGCTAACTACTACTGGGAAGTCGAGCGGATGTATCAATCTGCCCTTTTGTAGATCCAACTTTAGGAAAGAATTTGGTTCCTTACCAAAACCAGGCATCCTACGAATGCCCTCCATTTTGCTTCTTTGAGACCAAGATTTAGCCATATAAAAAAGCCTCACAATTGTCTCGAAGGACCTCCTTTGTTAATGAATAAGCTATCTACAAAGTTATGATGATCACCAACTGCTCAGTAACCCTTTCTCGTTATGCCGATAAGAAGTTCTCATCTAGGAATCGACAATCAACGATTAAACTAGACCAAATGATCGACAAAACCCAACTGACCAAGCCAGTCTTGCATATTTGAAGCTCATAGAATCTAGCCAATTGACTACATTGACTCACTCAAACACAATCAAACAAACTAAATTAATATTACCTAGCCAAAGAAATGACAACCCAACTAACCCAGTCAAAGGACAGTCGAGCAATAGACTAGATATATAAAATACCTAAAAATCTAATAAGAAACCCGTTAAGGAGGGGCAAATTTGTAAAATCATATATCATTCCCTCCCATCTATAAACAGGGAAATTATTTTATGAGAAATAGTTAATAAACAATACATTTTACTGTTCATTTTCTCTCTCAATCTTTATTTTCTCTCATTTTTTACACTATAGCCCTTGGAAAATGATTCACTGAAAAGTTAGGAATCAACTTCCTAAAATATGCGTTGCCCATGAATTGTGTCATAGACACGAAGATAAGCAGCATACAACGAGGAAACCCGCAACAATGACACTAGTATCAATGAGTGTGTTAGAGGGTTTTTTAACAAGCAAATCAAGGAAAAGAAGGATCAGATGTTGAATACCATCCAAAAGGCATTGATGGGAAATGGAGCAACATCCTCGATAAGTAAGAGATGACACCCAATGGCAAAGGGACTAACTTAGCTCTAGATAGAGAATGATATTCCAGGTACTTCGATAGTGTTGGGTCAGCACTGATTAATAGACATTAGTTTGGGCATATTGAAGCATTCCATAAGCTAGATAATATGCAGAATAAGCACTCATCACCATAGTCAGGTGGCTAGAAAGCACAAAAAAATTGAGAACAATGTGCATCTATCCAGACAGTTGTTATATTCTCGCTACTGAATTGACTATAAAGTCATATGGTTATGGAGGCACCCAACCTAATTGGGCAGGTGCCCGGGAATGGCTGAAGATAGAATACTCTCTCACCAAAATTGGTATAAAAGCGCATAAGGTCTAAGAGGTATGAAATGACTAAAAAGCCGGATACAATAATAAGTTCGCATGAAAAGATCTGAATAAATGGTCATATAGTTTGAAAAACATTATAACAAATGTCTACAAGACTGAAAGCATCGAAAGACGAGGTATCCTCATGACAAAGCCAATTCTAAGGTCACATGGCTAGAGGACACATATCTAGAAAGCTGAAAAGCATCCGAAGACGGGTTGTTCTCATAACAGAGCCATATATAATGTCATATGGCTTGAGAAGCACATAAATATAATAACTAAAAATCTAATATATACTCTTATAAAAGAGCTGACTGAAATGTCATATGGATTGAGAGATGTAAAAACCAAGTAGCTACAAAAACCTGACGTGTCTCAAAATGAGGTCCTATCATCAATGGTCGACCAAGTGAAGGAGATAGTTCCATTGATTGGAGCATCAAATGATTAGGGTAATATGTATTTCGATCAAATAGTCCAGGAGGTATGCATCCTGAATATACATCAAATAGAGTAGGAGGTATGTATCCAACTATACATATCTTTTGGCGTAAGAGGTATTTATCATGATAAAAAATTGAATGAGCCACCATACGACGCTATGACCTGAGGTGTCACGCTCACAGTATACGTTGGATGCATGAAGCGATCTGATAAGGAGGAGGCACTCCTCTCAAAGGGTGTCGATCTCTGTTGATTGAGATAACCTTATCAAATATTAAAGGAAAGACAGGTGTCAAAGAGCTCCGACAAGAAATGTATTAGTGGTAAAACTGATACAACATGCCACTTAATATGACTGATAGAATGAACCAAGCTGATTGAGAGTATAAAAAGAGCAAGAGGTAAGTATCCTACCCATGAGCAACCATAACGACCAGATAGCCTAAGGTATTACACCAAACATGGTTGGACATCAAAGTGCTCAAACAAAACATGGATCAGTGGTTGAGCCGATGCGACATGTGAGTCGACTTGGCAGATAGAACAAACTAAAATAGTTTAAACTATCAAATAAAACAGGAGGTAACTATCCTGCCCATGAGCAACCATAACAACAAGATAGTCTGATGTATTATGCTCAAATACAGTTGAACATCAAAGTGCCCCGACAAAACATGGATCGACAGTAAAACCGATATGACATGTGACTTGACTTGACATATAAAAAAATCAAAGTAGTTGAGAAATGTTGGATGCAAGAAGTGATTCCATGATGAGAGATGCTTCTCTCAAAGGATATTGATCTCTACTGATCAAGGTAACACTATCAAACATCAAATTGTAGTTCGTTATCAAGGTGCTTTGAAGAACATAAATCAGTGGTAAAACTAATATGACATGCATTCGACTTGGCGGACAAGACCAATCAAAGCAGTCAGAAAAAAGATATAGTTACATGTCCAAGATAGTATAAATATAAGAGTGGTTCCACAAGCACTGAAGAGATGACTGTCGCTAAGGATTCTCCCATTTAGTCATTTAATTCTAGTTGGGGAGGCATCGATTATCTCGATGTAGACATAGTTCAGTTATTTGACTGACGCAACATGCCACTCGACGTGGTGGTTGGGCTCTGATTTGCTAGTTGGGCTCTCACTTGCTGCCCGTGTAAGTAAAAAGAAATTGTGTGATATGGATCTAACAGGGCTCTGATTTGCTGGTTGGGCTCTCACTTGCTGCCCGAGTAAGTAAAAAGAAATTGTGTGATATGGATCTAACATTTGCTAAACTCGAATGGCAAAATACATAATAATTTTGATGTGATGGCCTGGGTCTGTCTTTTCCAAAACAAAATTGGAGTTGGCCCATATGGTAGCGCGGGAAAGTGAAAACATTTGGCGGCTGCGTGGACGTCCATAAACTGCCCTTCTCTAATATCATATGGCCGTTTGTGTAGCGAATCCTGACTCGTCGGTGAATCTTCCACGCTAAATAGCTACATGTCTAAAGTCATGGAGAACTATCAGTCCGTATTTAAGCCAGAAAACACATTTCTCACATTCTGGTGTGGTCAGGGAATAGAGGACTGGAGTCTTCGGGCTTCGATCCTTCTGAAGAACGCCCTTACAGTTGATCGGTGATTGTCTGACCAGCGATGGCGAGGCCGAGGAATCCTTCGGATATATCGGAGGAGGAGTCTTCTAGTGCCTCTCTCTCCTCCTCGGAAGCGGAAGCGATGCAGGACGGCGTGACGGCGGAAGACGAGGAGGAGCTCGAAGCGGTGGGGAGGACCGCGAGCCCTGACGACGAGGAGGATAATTCTCATTCGACGGACGATGACGCGGCTGCAGACAGGACCGACGGTGAGGATGAGGTATGGTTTAAGCGGGTTGGTTTTTTGGCGGTGATGGACTGTTCCATGCTAGGTTTTTCTGCAGATTTCTATGGCTTAGTCAGTAATCTTACGGATTAATGTGTTTTTTCTTGGCTACTAGATTTTTGGTTTTGATATATCGTTCTGTTGGTGCAAATTAAGCAGCGAAACTTGCGTGAGTGGGTTGTTTTACATGTTTATATCTTGGTCTAGATGTGTTCATGGTTGTAACTGCAAGCAAAAGAGTCGAAGATGTGTTTCAGTATGATTCTTTGTTTCTTGATGCTGCAAGTTTTTTTGAAGGCTGTTCTTTGTCGGCGAATGCACTGTCTTGTGTTAGAAGTAATTTGAAGAATTTGCT